CCCCACCTGCCACAAGCAGCAGCAGAAACGACCGAATCCAGAGCTCCGCCGGAACATGACCATCAAAACTGAACTCCCGCTGGGCGCACGTTAGTATGGGAGAGGGGGCCTCGGGCCTGGTCCTTGTTCTGGGGGCATAGCTTTAGGGAACCAGACTTCAGGATTCTGTTCCCACCTCAAAGGGATCTGAGCCCAGAGAAGGAGAGCAAAGCTCCTGGGGCTCAGAAGGGGTGTACTCCAGTCCCCCTGCTCCTGATCTCTCGTGTTTCCTCCTAGGGCGGAAGATGAAGCCACTGTTACCACGGGTCAGCTCATACCTGGTGCCTATCCAATTCCCGGTGAACCAGTCACTGGTGTTGCAGCCCTCGGTGAAGGTGCCATTACCCCTGGCGGCTTCCCTCATGAGCTCAGAGCTTGCCCGCCATAGCAAGCGAGTCCGCATTGCCCCCAAGGTGGGTGTCCTGTTTTCCTCTGAAGAGAGATTCTGGCCCATTAAGAATGTTGAACCTTCAGCTTGGCAAAGCACTCTGAGAAGTGTTCCTTGAGAGCTTTTAAAGTAGACAAGGCATAAAAACATAGGGAAGTGTAATAGCATTAGAAGAGCTAAAAAGGTATTTAGATTACAATGTCAGTGGTGTCAGAAGGCCCATAAATACCTGATGAGTTTGTAAGAATTCAGACAAGGGTGATTGTGATAGATAAGCTAGGATGATTAAGGAAGATACACAAGGGAGGCAGGCCTTAGAAAGAGGTGGATTTGGTCAGGTGCGGTCGCTCACGCCTGTAATCCCAGCACTTTGGGAGGCCAAGGCAGGTGGATCAAGAGGTCGGGAGTTCGAGACCAGTGTGGCCAACGTGGCGAAACCCTGTCTCTACTAAAAAATGCAAAAATTAGCTGGGCGTGGTGGCACATGCCTGTAATCCCAGCTACTCGGAAGGCTGAGGCTGGAGAATCACTTGAGCCCAGGAGGGGGAGGTTGCAGTGAGCCGAGATCACACCACTGCACTCCAGCCTGGGTGACAGAGCGAAACTCCGTCTCAAAAAAAAAAAGAAAGAAAGAAAGAAGTGGATTTGAGGTTAGACGCTGTGGGTCTCACTTGTAATCCCGACACTTTGGGAGGCCGAGGCAGGGGTATTGCTTACCACCAAGAGTTCAAGACCAGCCAGGGCAACATAGCAAGACCCCAGTCTCTGCTAAAAATACCAAAAAAAAAAAAAAATTTAGCCAGGGTGGTAGTACATGCCTGTGGTACCAGCTACTCAGGAGGCTGAGGCAGAAGGATCACTTGAGCCCAGGAGGTTGAGGCTGCAGTGAGCCCTGTTTGTACCACTGCACTCCAGCCTGAGCAATAGTGAGGCCCTGTCTCAAAAAAGAAAAAAGAAAAAGTAGATTTGGGTAAGCAAACAGGTGTGGAGAGAGCATTCTAATGGGCAGTGCCATGGAGGCAGGAAATGCAGTTTGTACCTGGCAGTAGTAGGGTGACTGGGTCAGAGTAGCTCAGGGTTTCTCACGTAAGTCCTATTAACGTTCACAGCTGGAGAATTCTTTGTTGGACGTGGAAGGGACTGTCCTGTGCATTGAAGGGTGTTTAGCAGCATCCCTTGTTTTCCCCACTAGATGCCAGTAGCACCCACCACAGGTGCGACAATTAAAATGCTTCCAGACATTGCCAAATGTCCCCTGGCAGGGAGGGAATCACCCTGCTTGAGTATCACTGGTCTCGCTTGAGGGGAAGGTGAGAAGGGCAAATTCAGAGCAAACTGGGATCAGCCATCAGATCTGCACTTAGCGCTGTTAAAGCGTTCTGTAAGTAAGGGCTGACATGTAACCAAAGTGAAAGGCTTCCCCCATCCCCTTCAGAGAGATGAAAATAGCATCAACTCTGGAGTTCAGAGCAACTTGGGTTTGCTTCTTTTTTAATATACAAAATATTTTGAGCCATGAACAGTGGCTCACACCTATAATCCTAGCAGTTTGGGAGGCCAAGGAGGAGGATCACTTGAGGCCAGGAGTTCAAGACCAGCCTGGGCAGCAAAGTAAGACCCTGTCTCTAACAAAAAAAAACATTTTTTTTTTTATTGGCCAGGTATTTTCATGGATACCTGTTGTCCCAGCCACTTGGGAGGCTGAGGCAGAAGGATTACTTGAGCTCCAGAGCTAGAGGCTGCAATGAGCTATAATCGTGCCACTGCGTTCTAGCTTAAGTAACAAAATGAGACCGTCTCTAAAACAAAATGTCTTTAATTATAAATAAAATATGTTACACACAAAATTATATTAAAAAATACATAATTTAGCATAAATGCATTAATGTGGTTGTAGCATGTACACTGTTTTGGTTTTAATGCAGTGGTTTTTTTCTCCCCTTTCCTTTTTGGCTCCCCTCTCCACCCTACCATCACCCACATCACCCCGACTCCCAAGATAACTGGTTGATAATTTATGATGCTTTCTTGCATATTTTATCGATGCTCCTAGTTATAATATACATGTATAGCGGTAGCCATTTTATATGTACACATACAACACATAGAACATTGATGATGTGATCGTGTTGTACATACTTCTCTACGTGTCTTTTTTTTTTTTTTCTGAGACGGAGTCTCACTCTGTCGCCCAGGCTGGAGTACAGTGGCATGATCTTGGCTCACCACAACCTCCCCATCCCAGGTTCAAGCGATTCTCCTGCCTCAGCCTCCTTGAGTAGCTGAGATTACAGGTGCCCGCCACCATGCCCAGCTAATTTTTGTATTTTTAGTAGAGATGGGGTTTCACCATGTTGGTCAGGCTGGTCTCGAACTCCTGACCTCATGATCCGCCAGCCTTGGCCTCCCAAAGTGTTGGGATTACAGGCGTGAGCCACCGCGCCCGGCCTCTACATGTCTGAACTCAAAAATACCTCATGGAAGTTCTTCCAAGTCGCTTGGCATAGTTCTAATTCATTATTTTTTAGTGTCCATGTAATATTCCATGATGTGGCTACACCACAAATTTTTCAGCCATTCCACTTTTATGGACATATTCTGTTTCTCAATTTTTGCCCAGTGAATGACATTGCAATACATATGTTTGCAAGGATCTCTGTTACTAGTGCTTTCATTTCTCTAGGATAGAGTCCCAGATGTGAGATTGCTGGGTGAGAAGGTATTTTAAATTCTACTAAATATTGCTAGATTGCTTTCCAAAAAAGCTATGATAAGTCATGTTTAAACCAACAATATATGATAAGATCTGTATCTTTGCCAGCAATTGGTATTATTAGTCTACTATTTGCCAATCTAATGTGTATAGCTTATATCTTCTTGTTTAATTTTTTTAATGTTTTATTTATTTATTTTTAAATCTTTTATTTCCATAGGTTTTTGGGGAACAGGTGGTGTTTGGTTACATGAGTAAGTTCTTTAGTGGCGATCTGTGAGATTTTGGTACACCCATCACCCTCTTGTTTAATTTTGTCTTTCTTTGTTTATCAGTAAGTCTGAGCACCCTGTCATTACATTTGGTGACTTGGAATCGTCCTCTATGGATTGCTTATTTATGGGCATTGCCCATTTTTCTAAAGGTTCTGTTATCAATTTGTGAGAGCTCTTTGTTTTTCTTTTTTCCCTTTTTTTTTTGAAATGGAGTCTTGCTTTATCGCCCAGGCTGAAGTACAGTGGTGTGATCTTGGCAACCTCTGCCTCCCAGGTTCAAGTAATTCTCATGCCTCAGCCTCCTGAGTAGCTGGGATTACAGGTGCCCGCCACCATGCCCGGCTAATTTTGTATTTTTAGTAGAGACAGGGTTTCACCATATTGGTCAGGCTGGTCTCGAACTCCTGACCTCAGATGATCTGCCTACCTCAGCCTCCCAAAGTGCTGGATTACAGGCGTGAGCCACCGCGCCCAGCCCCCTGTGAGAGCTCTTTGTTGTTAAAATAATCTTCTGTCTTTTATGCTGAAGATATTTTTCTACTTCTATTATCTCTTTTCTTTTCTTTTTTTTCCTTTTCTTTTCTTCGGAGACAGGGTCTTGCTACGTTGCCTAGTCTGGAGTCCAGTGGTGTAAGGAAGGCTCACTGCATCCTCGACCTCCCAGGCTCAAGTGATCCTCCCACTTCAGCCTCCCACCTGTGGCTGGAACTACAGGTGCACGCCACCACGCCCAGCTAATTAAAATATTTTTTTGTAGAGATGGGATCTCACTATGTTGCTCAGGCTGGTCTCAAACTGGCCTCAGTGTCCCAAAGTGCTGGGATTACAGGCATTGTTTGTTTGTTGTGTCTTAATTTTGTTTATGGTATCTCTTGCCACAGTAAAATTTTGCATTTGTATGTAGTCACATGTCTCTCTTCTCTTTTACAGCTTATGGGTTTCCAGTCTTGGTTAAGAAGGTCACCCGCACCCTCAGATTGTATATGTAGTCTCCTAGATTCTCTTTCAGGATTTGTATGATTTTAAGGTTTTCATTTTTTTTAAAGCCAGTCAAATTTAGCAGTTGGGGGTTGTGTACCAACTTTAGTGACAATAATGTCACTACCCACTACCGTCAGAGCAGCCTAAGGTTCTTTTTTTTTTTTTTTTTTTTTTTGAGACGGAGTCTCGCTCTGTCGCCCAGGCTGGAGTGCAGTGGCGCGATCTCGGCTCACTGCAAGCTCCGCCTCCCGGGTTTCCGCCATTCTCCTGCCTCAGCCTCCCGAGTAGCTGGGACTACAGGCGCCCACCACCGCGCCCGGCTAATTTTTTTTTGTATTTTTAGTAGAGACGGGGTTTCACCGTGGTCTCCATCTCCTGACCTTGTGATCCGCCCGCCTCGGCCTCCCAAAGTGCTGGGATTACAGGCGTGAGCCACCGCGCCCGGCCAGCCTAAGGTTCTAATTTGCATGCGTTCAATCTTTGTAAGCAGTGTAAGACAGGCATGCAATTTTATTTCCTCTCGGATGAATGCTATTAGAATTATGCCACTACATACTACATGCTCTCATCTTTTACCCCCAGAATTGAACTGCCAGCTTCAACATATATTGTATTCTCATATTTAATAGATTTTAAGACTTTAAAACGACACAAAGAGGATCAGTACCAATATGTGATTTTTTTGTGCATCCTGTCCGGTGACCGTTGGCTGAAGCCAGAGTTCCCTTTCACCTTGTCTCTGTTTCCCTTTCAGGTGCTGCTAGCTGAGGAGGGGACAGCCCCTCTTCCTTCTGCAGGGCCAGGGAAAGAGGAGAAACTGCTGTGTGGAGAAGGGCTGTGTCCTTTGCTTCCAGTTCAGTCTATCAAGGAGGAACAAATCCAGCCTGGGGAGGAAATGCCGCACTTAGCGAGACCCATCAAAGTGGAGAGCCCCCCCTTGGAAGAGTGGCCCTCCCCGGCCCCGTCCTTCAAAGAGGAATCATCTCACTCCTGGGAGGATTCACCCCAATCTCCCACCCCAAGACCCAAGAAGTCCTACGGTGGGCTTAGGTCGCCAACCCGGTGTGTCTCGGAAATGCTTGTGATCCCACACAGGGAGAGGAGGGAGAGGAGCCGGTCTCGGAGGAAACAGCATCTACTGCCTCCCTGCGTGGCTGAGCCGGAGCTGCTCTTCTCAGAGGGGCCCAGTACTTCCCGCTGGGCCGCAGAACTCCCGTTCCCGGCAGACTCCTCTCAGCCTGCCCCCCAGCTCAGCTACCCCCAGGAAGAGGGAGGACCTTTTAAGACACCCATTAAGGAAACGCTGCCCATCTCCTCCACCCCGAGCAAATCTGTCCTTCCCAGAACGCCTGAATCCTGGAGGCTCACGCCCCCAGCCAAAGTAGGGGGACTGGATTTCAGCCCAGTACAAACCCCCCAGGGCGCCTCTGGCCCCTTGCCTGACCCCCTGGAGCTGATGGATCTCAGCACCACTCCACTGAAAAGCGTTCCCCCCTTTGAATCACCGCAAAGGCTTCTCAGTTCAGAACCCTTAGACCTCGCCTCCGTCCCCTTTGGCAACTCTTCTCCCTCAGATATAGAAGTCCCCAAGCCAGGCTCCCCGGAGCCACAGGTTTCTGGCCTCGCAGCCAATCGTTCTCTGACAGAAGGCCTGGTTCTGGACACAATGAATGATAGCCTCAGCAAGATCCTGCTGGACATCAGCTTTCCTGGCCTGGAGGAGGACCCACTGGGCCCTGACAACATCAACTGGTCCCAGTTTATTCCTGAGCTACAGTAGAGCCCTGCCCTTGCCCTTGTGCCCAAGCTGTCCACCGTCCTGGGCACTCCTGTGGCTGAGCAGTCCGAGGCTCAGTGCACCCCAAGCCTCTGAGTGAGGACAGCAGGCAGGGACTGTTCTGCTCCTCTTAGCTCTCTGCTGCCTGATTATGCAAAGGTAGCAGTCACACCCTAGCCACTGCTGGGACCCTGTGTTCCCCAAGAGTATCTGATTCCTCTGCTGTCCCTCCCAGGAGCTGAAGGGTGGGAACAACAAAGGCAATGGTGAAAAGAGATTAGGAACTCCCCAGCCTGTTTCCATTCTGTGCCCAGCAGTCTCTCACCTTCCCTGATCTTTGCAGGGTGGCCCTTGTAAATAGTGTCAATCCTCCAAATTATCCTCTAATTATAAATGTAAGCTTATTTCCTTAGATCATTATCCAGAGACTGCCAGAAGGTGGGTAGGATGACTGGGGTTTCAATTGACTTCTGTTCCTTGCTTTTAGTTTCGAGAGAAGGGAAGACCTGCAGTGCACGGTTTCTTCCAGGCCGAGGTACCTGGATCTTGGTTCTTTACTGCAGGGACCCAGACAAGTGGATCTGCTTGCCAGAGTCCTTTTTGCCCCTCCCTGCCACCTCCCCGTGTTTCCACGTGAACTTTCCTGCAAGAAGAAATCCTGGTTTAAAAAGTCTTTTGTATTGGGTCAAGAGTTGAATTTGGGGTGGGAGGATGCAGCTGAAGCAGAGTGTGGGTGCCCAGATGTGCGCTATTAGATGTTTCTCTGATAATGTCCCCAGTCATACCAGGGAGACTAGCATTGACGAGCACTCAGGTGGAGGCTTGAGAAAGCCAAAAGAGCCCCTGACCTGCCCGGCTTCCGTAGCTCGCCCCTCAGCTTTGCAAAGAGCCACCCTAGGCCCCAGCCTAGGGTGTGAGCCGGCTTGAGAACACTACTGTAACTATCTACTCAATAAAAGTGAGGGTGGACATGCTGGGCCTGTGGTTTATTGGTGTCTGATTCCTAAGGCACCAGGAGAGGTTGGAAAAGAAAGAGGGTGTTGATGGAGACAATGGTGATAGGGAAGAGGCAAGGCCTGAAGTTGACCCAAAGAAGCAGTTGGAGCACCTTGCACAGGCACACACTCTACAACACCAATTGCCGCTTTTCCCAGTGCCAGTCCTGCACAGCTCACCTCTTTTCCCTGTCGTCTCCAACCTTGTTCCTTGGGACCTTTGGACCTGCTGGTTAGGCGGGGCGCGGTGGCTCACGCCTGTAATCCAGCCTTTGGGAGCGAGGGCGGATCCAAGTAGAGATGAGACAGGGAAACCGCTCAAAATTACAAAAATTAGGGCGCGGGTGGCGCCTGTATCCAGCACTCGGAGCTGAGCAGGAGAAGGCGGAACCGGGAGCGGAGCTTGCAGGAGGGATCGCCACTGCTCCAGCTGGGCTGGGGACGAGCGAGACCGTCTCAAAAAAAAAAAAAAAAAAGGAGAAAAGCTCATGAGGGGTAGGGCTCCCTGAACATCAGGGCAGGATGGGCCCAGTTACAGGTGCTCCATTCCCACTGCCATCCCCACCCTGAGGCCTGGGAGCCAGCCTGGCCTGCTTTTCCCCTGCCCGGCAGCAGCTCCTGTTACCATCTTTTGCAGTCAGAATTAAAGAGAGTGCTATCCCCTGCCTAACCTGAAAAGCAGCCAGGGGCCCAAGGGACACAAGAGCCTCCAGGGACAGGTGAGGGCCTCCTCTCTGCATCACCACTCAGGCAGCATCACCATAGCAACCCCAGGAGTAAACAATGGTGCCAGAAAGGGTTTCCCCACAAAGCCGCTCCTCCTGGCTCTGAGGCCCAGAAGAATGGCCAGTAGCCGGCAAAGATCACTCAGAGGGCCCAGTCACCCACCTCATATGGAAGAACCTTTCCTGCAGGTAGGGAGTGGCCCATCTCTGCTGCCTACATTTTTGTGCCCCACTGGGCTACAGGCTGTCCCCTATAGTGGGCCAGGCTTTCTTCTGGGCAGCTGACCGCCTGGCCCATACATTTTCTGCTGTCTTCCCCTTTTCATCCTATGATACTGGGAACCCAGAGCTCAGAACACAGAGGAGATGCCTTACTAGTGCCACGTCTCCCAGTCCCACCCACTGGGGGGATCTTGTAGAAACGACTTAGGGGCCCAAGCTCAAGAAACAGGAGGGTTTTTGCAATCAGAACTCAGAACTAAGTCCCTGGGGCCAGGCACAGTGGCTCACGCCTGTAATTCCAGCACTTTGGGAGGTCGAGGGGAACGGATCGCCTGAGGTTAGGAGTTTGAGACCAGCTTGGCCAACATGATGAAATCCTGTCTCTACTAAGAACACAAAATTAGCCAGGCGTGGTGGTGCATGCCTGTAATCCCAGCTACTCAGGAGGCTGAGGCAGGAGAATCACTTGAACCCAGGAGGCGGAGGTTGCAGTGAGCCGGGACTGCACCCTTGCACTCCAGCCTGGGCAACAAGAGCGAAACTCCTTCTAAAAAAAATAAAAGTCCCTGGGGATGGATAGGAGGGAGAAGCATTTTAAAAGAGACACATTTTTGTTGCGGTCAGGCACTGTGCTAAGTAAGGCCATTTCATTTCACCCAGCATGGTATGCCAAGCAAGAGCACAGACAGAAGGCTTAAGTCCCAGCTGTCACTCAGGCACCAGCACCCTGCGTGAGTTACCAACCCTTACTGTATCTTGCATTCCGCATCTTTTGAGATGGGGACGATAGCAATACTTGCTCATAGAGTTGTAGGGGTTAAATAAGATGCATGTAAGTATTTAGCACAGCGTCAATATGTATTTGCTGCTGTTTATTTCATGGGGGGCAGGGTGCAGAAGGGGGAAGAAGAGCTGGCCATTCTAGACGCTTTCTGTACTAGTATTTTAATGAGGAGTGGGAGGAAAGCATCAATGACAGAGAAATGAGTATTGAGAGGAGTCTGGGATGGGAAGACACCTGGCCCTATTTTCTGGAGAAGGACTTTCCTGGTATGTCACCAAGACCAGGAGCAAGTGAAGGTGGGCTGCCCCCCTTGGCATGGTAGGGGGCATTTCTCTTCGTGATTTCCTGAGACCTGATGTGCCCTCTAAGGAGCACGTTCCTGGGTGAGAATGTGGGGACACCAGAAGGGAGGAGGGAGGTGAAGGTAAAGAGCGAAAGCTGAGCACAGAGGGTGGGAAGTCAAAGCCAAAATATGGTTAATGGCAAGAAACCAAAAGATGAGTGACTGTGACAATGATATGGAGCAGCCATAACTGCTGCCGGGCGGGAGAGGGATAGAGATGTGGCCCTGCCAGGACTTCTGTGTCCTGATGAGAATCCTGGGCTGGCGGAGGCTGGGCCTGGGAAGGAGAGCAGAGTGCTTCGTCCACCTTTCTGCACCCTTGTCTGCACAACCTTCCCCCGGCTCCCTTTTGTCTCTCCCTAGATGGTCCAGGCCAGCGAGTCCCTCCCGCCCTCCCAAACGTGGGCTCAGCGTGAGTTCTTCCTCCCCAGCGAGTCCTGGGAGTTCCCTGGCTTCACCCGGCAAGCCTATCACCAGCTGGCCCTGAAGCTGCCGCCCTGCACAGATATGAAGTCCAAGGTGCGTCAGCGGCTCATCCATCCGTGGAAAGGTGGCACGCAGCACACCTGGGGCTTCCACACGTGGCTCGATGTGTGCCGCCTGCCTGCCACCTTCCCCACTCGGCCTGACAGGCCCTACGATAGCAATGTCTGGCGCTGGCTGACAGACTCCAATGCCCACAGACGCCCCCCCCCGGAGCACCCCATCCCCCCTCCCTCCTGGATGGGGCAAAACAGCTTCCTGACTTTCATCCACTGTTATCCCACGTTTGTGGACATGAAAAGGAAGAAGCAGGTGATTTTCAGGACAGTGAAGGAGTTGAAGGAGGTGGAGAAGCTCAAGTTGAGGAGTGAGGCAAGAGCACCTCCACTCGATGCCCAGGGCAACATTCAGCCGCCAGCGAGCTTCAAGAAGTAAGACGGCGCCTCCTCAGGGAGCCCACCCAGCCTGCCCTGCCCTGCCCAGGTGACCCCTCCCTCTCTGGGGTTCCTGTTTCTAACCGGGACTCTGCCCTTCCCACCTCTGGTCATCTGAAAACCAAACTCTTTTCTGAGTGTAGCTGAAAGGACAAGGTGGAGACAAGGTAAGAACAGCGAGTGGAGGCACAGAATTTCACTAAAATCTGGGGGGACAGCTATGCAGGAGACACCTGCTAGGCACTGGGGACACGGAGAAGTGCGATTCAGTGCCTGCCCTCAAGGAGCTTTGCAAAGATAGCTATCAAAACAAGGCTACACATGCGAAGGGCTCAGAGTGTGAGACAGAGGGTGTTAAAGGAAGTCAGTTATTAATGTAAAGAACTGGAGTGAAAGTTGTAGCCTGAAGGCCTGGAGTGCAGTTCCAACCCCATGACCATGGCGAGGTGCCCAGCTTCTCCAGTCTCAGCTCCCTCACTGATGAAGAGGGGATCCTCAGGTACTGACCTCACTGTGGGAGGATAAATTGAGCTAGTGAATAGGTGGAAGAACTGAACAAAAGTTAGATGTTATGGCAGGGCACGGGTGGCTCACGCCTGTAATCCCAGCACTTTGGGAGGCCGAGGCAGCCGGATCACCTGAGGTCAGGAGTTCCAGACCAGCCTGACCAACACGGAGAAACCCCGTCTCTACTGAAAATACAAAATTAGCCGGGTGTGGTGATGGGTGCCTACAATCCCAGCTGCTCGGGAAGCTGAGGCAGGAGAATCACTTGAACCCGAGAGGCGGAGGTTCCGGTGAGCCGAGATGGCACCGTTGCACTCAAGCCTGGGCAACAAGAGTGAAACTCCATCTCAAAATAAAAAAATAAAATAAAATAACAGTTAGATGTTATTACAGAAATTCAGGAGAGAAGGGTTGCCGTGAGCTGGAGTGTCCCTGCCACAGGAAGCCTTCATGGGGAAGTCAGGGTTCAGGCTGGAAGGGTGGAAAGCCAGCAGACAGCCAAAAGCAGTGGCTGAGGCCCTCCAGGCAAGGCTGAGAAGTCGGAGCAGAGTCAGGAACATGAGAGGAGCCGCTGTGAACCCCGCAGCTGCCGCTCCCGGCCACCCTGGGAACTCACGGATGCTTCCTAACTGTGTCCAGCCCAGGCACTAAGCATGCAAGAGTAACAAGATAGGGGGAAGGCAGTGAAAACGGAATGTCTCAAATTCCAATCCCAAGGGCATGACCAAAGCACTGGGGAGTTGGAGCAGGAGGCTGTGAAGATTTTTAATCTGAAAAAACAAACAAAACAAAACAGACTAGGCACGGTGGCTCACGCCTGTAATCCCAGCACTCTGGGAGGCTAAGGCAGGCAGATTGCCTGGGGTCAGGAGTTCGAGACCAGCCTGGCCAACATGGTGAAACCTCATCTCTACTAAAAATACAAAAATTAGCTGGGCATGGTGGTGGGTGCCTGTAATCCCAGCTACTCGGGAGGGTGAGGCAGGGGAATCGCTTGAACCCGGGAGGTGGAGGTTGCAGTGAGCTGACGCACCACTGTAATGCAGCCTGGGAGACAAGAGCGAGACTTTGTTTCAAAAAAAACAAAAAAACAAACAAAAAAACAACGCCAAAGGTTGGTGACTTTGAGAAACCAGTCCCCTTTGTGGGGACCCAGGCTTCTCCCTGCCTCCTGCTACCCTTCCCTGAGGACTGCCGATTGCTGATAGGTGCTGACCCTGGCGAAGGGGAGAAAGAGCACTCCAGAGAGATTCGCAGTGGTGTGACAGTGCCAGGTGGTGTTCTAAACGCTTCTCTGTATTATCTAATCCCCCAGGACCTTCTGGGTAGAAACTACCATTAACCCCCCCCTTTTTTTTTTTTTTTTTTGAGGCAGAGTCTTCCTCTTTCGCCCAGGCCGGAGTGCAGTGATGTGATCTCAGCTCATCGCAACCCCTTGATTTGATCTCAGCTCATCGCAACCTCTACTTCCTGGGTTCAAACCATTCTCCTTGCCTCAGCCTCCCGAGTAGCTGGGATTATAGGCTCCTGTCACCACACCTGGCTAAGTTTTGTATTTTTTTTTTTTTTTTTTGAGACAGAGTCTTTGCTCTGTCACCCAGGCTGGAGTGCAGTGGCGCGAACTCGGCTCACTACAAGCTCCGCCTCCTGGGTTTACACCATTCTCCTGCCTCAGCCTCCTGAGTAGCTGGGACTACAGGCGCCCGCCACCTCGCCCGGCTAGTTTTTTGTACTTTTAGTAGAGATGGGGTTTCACCATGTTAGCCAGG